ACATTCAAGTACTCAATGAGTACAATCCAAACCAACAAAAAAAAGTTAGATTTTTCAAACTTCGATGCCAACTTCACATAGCTGGGCTAGTGCTGTTTCATAGACTTTAATTTCTCATTTATTTTTATCATTTTCAAAGGTTCATGTAGGAGATACTAGTATTTTTTGTGAAGCAGAGAGATGTGAGAGATTTAAAGTCGCAAGTCGAGTTTTATAAATTGTTAGGTGTCTGTAGAACCGAAAAAGAAACAGTTCTAGTAATGAATGATCGTGAGTGATCGTGACTGATGATTTTAGACAGAATTCGACAGTAATGAATTTTCGTGTTTATCTCTGCATTCATTTTTCATGATTCCACGTCTCCTGTCCAAAACCAATCCCTCCTATCACCCAAAAATAGAACCAAAAGTGCAGTTTTATTAGGGACCATCTGCTGCTCCCTTCTTCCACCCTCGAGAATGAAAAAAAAGAATATAAGACGCGACTACTGTAATTGGCGATTCTGAAAAAAAATCTCGTTACAACTAAAAAAGTCAGTCTATCAATTCCCTTGAAAATTTTTCCATTAATTATCATTCAATTTCGGCTTTTACAACTTCATGAAATCCCTCGAATATTCCATAAAACTCGAAACGTAATCTGACCTTCGCCAGCAAATTACTAATTAAATTGTTTTAACATCCCCGGAAAAGTGCGCATTAATTAGTAATTACTTGGGATTGCAAGGGGAAAATTCAGTGTAATGGTTGAGGAGCCAGTATGACTGATGCCTCGAGGAGTAGTAAAACTCGAAATGGAATAGCTCTTTATGTCTTATTTTTTCGATTACTTTAATTTAGTGTTAGTGACACGATACACTGTTGTACAATATATAATACTGGTTTATGCTCTCTACAGTTGTGCTATTTCGATGGTATCATAAAAATGCAGTTGTTTCATGGTACTATTTCAGATCAAACGAGGTTGTGTCCGAGGGGCTCAACCGACGTCTCTTGGTGTTAGTGAATGTGAAGTGGTAGTGCATCAACAACTGGGAATACCACGGGAATTGCTAAGGAGCTTGGGTGACCAGTGTTGGCTATCAAATAAATTTTCGAGCATGGTGGAGACCAGTGGACCACCTTTGGCAGGTCAACCGGTTGACCGACAGACGCAATTTGGCAGTGGCAGACGTTTCGAGCCGTCAGAATGCATTTTTGTATTCAAGGATACCCAGTCGGATTATGAGGAACCATCCAGTGGCGATGAGGTGAGTCGTTTTTTTGATTTTTTTTTTATTTATTAGGTTTTGACGTTAGTTTAGGAGTTTTGCCAGTTTTTGGGGCCATTTTCGGCCTCCAGTCGCTGGTAATTGCGTCAATATTTTGAGGGTAAATAGGCCGCGAGGATCAGTACACACGGATTTTCTTTTAAGAAAATCCAACGGTTAAACGCTGGTTAATTAGTTATTTTTGGGGTTCAGGGGTGTCCCATTAGGCTTTGGATATCTCCAGGGGGTGAAACTTTTTGCGAATATTAGAACTAGTTCCCTACAAAAATTCTAGCGATCGTAATGAAAAAAAATTTATTTAGCTGTTGGTATTGGAATTTTTTTAAGGAATTTCCTTGGGAATTTCTTATGAAATTTGTTGTCTGGACGAACTTCGAGAGAATTATAAGATATCCTCTTAGTGAATATCTCTGGAAGTGGCGAATTAACGAGAAAATATGGGAATTTCTTTAGTAAAAATTTGTCTGGGTTATTTATTATTAATGCGAATGAAATATTTAGATGAATCTCCAATTCTCTACCACTTTGAGGGAAAATTAAATTACGGGAATTCTCGGATGGGAATTTAGTTTTGCATTGAAGTGAAGTCAAGTAAACTGCCAGTAATGCACTTCCTGTGGGTTAATCAACGATCATTAAAAAATTCATGACGGTTTCGTCGCCAGTAATGAATGATTTTATCAAATTACCGGAATTGAATTTCCTCGTTTGTCATCAGATCAGCTCCTTATATTATTAGAATGCCGAGTTTTCGAGTTAGAGTGGGATTGGCGGTCCATTAAGTCTTTGAGTAGCAAAAATTGACATTCGAAATTCTCCCACGTAAATTTACGATTAGGTAAACGAAAAGGTCGATCGACAAATCATTTTTACCGTCTCCAATATTCTCGTCGTCATTCGTTAAATAATAAATGAATAAATATTTTCTATCGACACTACCCAAAATTCCAATATATTGAAAATATTTCGAGTTATTAATTTGACGAATTGTTCAAATTGTTAACTGATTTCTGGTAATTTGAAATATTTTTTAAATATAGTCTGCGAATTTTTTGGTGTGTTTCAATTTGAGAGTGAAAAACTGAGGAACAAGTTCTGAAGTTATTCAGTGGATTTTATTTATTTCGGGGTGAAAAGCTTTTTGAGCGGGGGCTATGAATATTTTTTCTTGATGTCGTTATTCTTTATCATTGAATAAGTCCTGCATTGCGTATATCCCACAAAGCCGTAGAAAATGGCGTCACAATGGTGCATCGTTGCTCTGAAAATATCTCCACGGCAGTGTTCTCTTGGTGCAGGGTGAGCGATCAATCACTCTTGAAGAATAAGAGGCTCAAAACCCCGAGAGTAGTCCGATGTGGTATGCCAGCCGTAAATAAACCAACACTGGCCACCAGAGCTTTTCAGTCAAAATGTCCCTCACGTGGTTCAATTCCATTTTAGTTTTTATCAGTATCGAGTGCTCGATTATATATTTTTTTTTGGGGGGAGGGGTACCTTGCACTCGTGGCTATTTATTGGAATTTCAGTTACTTTATCAGGCTTTATATTTCAATTCAATTGTAATTACGGAATTTATTTCTTCTGCCATGTGGTATATTCAATCGGCAATTTAGTCATCTCTATTTTCAAATAATTGATCGAATACTCAATAATTTGGCGGAATTTCAGTTATTTCTGGGTTTATAAAGTCTGAATGGAAAA